ACACCTCTCTAGCATTGTAAACCACTCTAACCAAGATGTTTAATCACATAATTGATTAAATAAATCAATGCAACCAATCAGCAATTTGGAAATACATATTTATGTGAGGAATGCCTTTGATCTCTTAGAATTAAATAACTAGAAAAGGCTGCAATTGCTAAAAGATTGCCTTCAAAAGGCTACAATAAATATTGGGTATTGCTCATTAAAGTAATTGAGCCCAACCCAAGCTTTGACATGTGAGAGCAGTAAAGCTGAGTATACATAGTAAGAATTTTGTATTAACGTTCATACAAAACATCTCGTCAGAACATTCGATAATGCCATCCAAGACTTGCGAATGTCTTTCAAAATGTTTTTCCGTTTTACCATTTAGTTTTGGAAATGAATAGACTTTCCAAAACAAAAACCACATTCACTGTTAGCATTTTGTTGGTTCAAGAAAAATCTTCCATCCTGCTCCGTGATTTTTTCTGCTACTATGGTGAAAATCTATTGCCGATGTGACCCCGTAAACTATTAGTAGATCGAACAAACATCCTGAAAATGAATTTTTTGAAATTCTAACTGTTTATACCCAGCTTAAGAGGAGGAGACAGTTGCAGGGAATTTAAAGCAATGGATCTAAGCATCTGAGCAAGATCTACAGCTGCAGGGGAAATTACACATTGATAAATGACCAAAACCTTTACATAGTTTATAAACTATCACCGAACTGGATATTTCCTAGTCTCATCCTGCAAGATGATAGGTTTACACTGTCATCACATGATACGTTTTTCCTTTTTTGATGTAAATGTAATTGTATATATTGGTAATCTTTCATACCATTTGCTCAGTAAATATTATAAAATATATGGTCTTTATACATTAAAACAAGTCACTGGGGTTGATTTATTAAAGGGAAATAGGCTGTTCCCCTTACAAGGTAATTGCAAGCTTAGTGAATGAGATGAAGCTCTGCTGACTTCCATTATCCTATCGTGTGCAAGAAAAATAGTTGCTTTTTTATTTTCCTTGCTTGTGATTGGGGATTCTTTGCCAAGTGAATTTTCACCACATGCGCTAAGCTAAGGGAAAATTCCCTTGCAAAGTGAACAGTAGGGCTGCAACAACTAATCGACATAATCGATTATTGAAAAAGTTGTCAACTTTTTCAAATGAACAGCCTATTTGCATTTAGTAAATAAACCCTCTTTAGTGCATATTAGAAAACCAAGCTCATTGCTTGCTGTGGGCAGCACTACAATATTTACTCTGTTTCTATTAATATGTTTCCCTGTAGATAGTAAGCATATTATAGCTCAGGGAGCCTGTATCAGCTTTTTTACTTTATTTGGTCATGAAACTACATAGTAAACAAATGCTCTTATTTCCATTTACAATGGCAGTGTGCATTATTCCATGTATACATAAAGCTCTTGTGTTATAGTTTCATGAAAGGTGTGAACAAAGCTTGTTCTTCCACTCTGCCTTACGTACTTCTTTTCTACTAAAACAACATTTTTCATGATTTGAGACATAAGGGTTGTTAAGGTTTTTTGTTTTTTTAAATAAGAAATTGCACAGTTGCAATTATTATACAGACGTGTACAACAGTTTTTTTAACATGCAAACTGCACTGACAAAAAGCTTAGTCTGATATACAGGACTTGCTATTCCAGAAATTCCTGTTGTACTATGCTGTGGGGCACACCTTGAAATGTGTGGATTACAAAATGTGCAATGAAATAAAAAAATGGATGCTTGTATTTTAATAGAGACAGACCCCTTACCATACTGATGGTACCATCACCAATGTTGTTGTTTTTTCCAGTTCTCTCTTTTACTTCAATACTTATACAGAATACAGCAATATTATCTATTATGTTATTGTTTTTTAAAGAGATTAATTCAGGCCTCATTCACACAGACACAGCTACCTGAGCTGTGACCCGAGCTGGCACATCCGCAGAGGTACAGATGAATGCCCTTGGACGCTGACAGTCTGCGTCCAAGGGTGTGCATCCATACCTGTACAGATGTGCAAGTTTGGGTCAGCATGTAGCCACATGACAGCTACGTCCTGTCATAGAGATGTACAGGTGGCCACACGCAGCACCTGTCTCTCTGGGGTGCAGGCCTCTGCACGTATGTGCATGCTGTCCGGCTGTGCACGTCCAGGTGAATGAGGCCTTATTAATTACAATGGGCAACACCTTTCAAAACAGCAGGCAGTCTTCAATTTCTTTTTTTTTTTACATTATATATTCATAATAGAAACATAAAAAATATTCAGTCTTTAGTTTCTGGAATTTGACATAGGAGGACTGTGCATGGCTGGACTATTGCAAATGTCCATTGTGGGGAATCTATGAATGAAAGACTTAGGGGTTGATATATAACTCTATATGCTGGGCAGATGCTGTCTGCACGGCACACTACCATTTTCCTATGCTCCTCATCTCCACCTTGTGGTGGTAGTGCCATGTGAATGGCAACTGCCCAACATATTATATATCATGGTTATAAATCAAACCTTAATATATGGATATTAGACATAGAAGCTGTGTATAAGTACATCGAACAATGCTCAGTATATTACACAGTTTATTCACAGAAGCACAGTACAGACTTAACGTGTACTTGTCATGCAATACGGAAAACTCTATTGCAGCCAGGATGACAACTGAAGAGCAGTCTTCAGCATTGGAAAATTAGCTCTTTTGAAGTTCATTGTTTTTATCTTTTTAGTTAAAACTTAACAACTTACATGAAATGAAATCATACTGTGGTCACTGCCACCCAGATTTTCTTTTATATAAACATTTGTAATAAACTCCTCATTTTTTTAGATTAACAGATTCAGGAGAGTGTTATGTCTATTTGGGGCTTCTATAAACTGTACCATAAAATTGTATTGCTATACGTTTATAAATGTCCGCCCTTTTACTGTTCCAGCAGTGCCATTACACCAATTTCAGTTTTAGTTAAAATCACCCATTATTACCATCATGCCATCCCTTGCAGTCTTTTTTATCTGTCAGGAGCTGAGTTTCTACCTTCTCATTTTTATTAACATAAAACAATATCTTAAATACAATGCAAGCTACATTGCTACCCAACAACTGGGAAAATGCTTAAGTGTTAGTGACCCATTTAATCCACTCTATGTATTTACTTCTGTGAATGCTTTACTGCTTGGTGTGTAATAAATCTGACAGATGACTCTTAAAACGGTTTGGGTAAACCTTTGGCTATAAATAGACCTAGCCAAGTAACAAATACTAGTAGGGAACTTTATGATTCTGTTTAATTTAAGCCTGGAGTTGGCTGTTGCAGCCATTATAGGGGTCATGTAAAGGTGGCTATAGGCCGGTTATAGGAACAGCCAACAAACACAATGACCATCTAAAAACCATTTATATGGAGGACAGACAAATACAGTACTGTATGAGGCAAGTTTCTTGTATGAAACCCCTGAATGCTTACAATAAAGTAGAATTTACACTGTGGCCAGATAGTACTAATTGTCCTCTATTTCATAGGGAAACGGGCTAAAATAACCCTCAAATATCTCATCAGAAATCATCATCTGGCTGACTACCTTAAAGTTCACATCTATATGTTTTCATATAGGCCATTGTTTCAAATGGTGGTAGTTCACATCTGTGCAATCTGTTGTGATTTGTCTGTTTTTTTGATGCATTGATGTATGTGAGTTATAGGGGCAATTGATGAGAATGGCAGCGCATGTGTACAGAGGGGTGTAGCTCCAGCTTTAAAGCTGATACGTGGTCACTATAGATCATTTCAGTTTTACATAACTGCACGAAAATTCTAGATCATTTACATTTTTTGTCCAACAGTTCTTCTGTTGTTATTGCCTCCAACATGTGAACTAGATATTGTTCAAACAAACCTAGTGTCTGATGTACTTTGCTTTACCGGTACTCTTAGATAGCTGCTGCTGGTTTTTATGTAAACTGTGTTTAAGATCAACAAAAAGAGTCTTAGCTTTGCTTGCAGGGTCTTATTACAAAGACTCAAACGCTATAAAAATATTTTCCAGTTACAGTCATGTCTGTGAATGTGCCCTATTACTGGGTGGACTGTTGTTTGACCTTGAAAGACAGTGAGGGTGCATTACCCTGATTAAACTATCTGAAGAGCATTGCCGTGTCTGCATTGGCAAATCCACAAGCAATTTCGGTTATTTGCTCGGGATAAACTACGGAATAAAAATGCCATTGCCTTCTGGCTATATAAAATAGAAGCAAGGCAAAAAAAAGTTGTCCGTTACAGTCTGGAATTAATATGATAGTATTAAGCGTCAATGCTGTTATTGTGTGTTCTCATTAAAGTATAATTTAACTCAAACTTAAAATAATTTTTGTTTGTTAGATACTAATAGTAAAACAGGATCAGCTATTTAGTTTTTTTAAAACTTATAGCTAAACATACTTTTTCATTTTCACGTTTCTGTGGGTTCTGTGGCCACTTCAGGTATTCTAGCTGCGGTGCACATCTCTTCCTACTAAAGTAGCCAACTATGCTAAGGTCATGCACTGGGGTCTCAGACAAAGAAGTCTGAGTAAACATACAGGTATGCTGTACGTCTACACCTCAGTTGTACATCAGCTCATAGTCCACAGAACATAGCATTGAAAAGAAAAGATGCTTCTTAGGCAAATACATACACAAGGTATCACCCTAGGGCAGGAAGTCTCTTACTTGAGGATTAACAGGTATAAAATAAAGAAAAGAAAGCTTTCCTTTAGAAAACAATTCCCTCAACACAACTAAGGAATGGTAAGCTAACATAAATTGACTTTATTTTTTGAGAGAATTACATTCTCTTTAAACTGCTGATCAATTTTCGCTTGTGAAACATTGCTCCTTCAGAATTATAGGTTTATTTAAACTAAATCTATATTTTCACACAACATGCTGGCTATTTACCTAGCAGCAAAACTTAATTTGTGGGACTATTTCCTGAAATGTTTAAGTCCACTTTCTACCATGGCCATTACTATCTTGCTCCTCTGTATGCCTGGAAGGATCAACCCACCAAAAAGTGGTTTTTAAGGTAGGGTCTGATGGGTTGAGTCCCTTCTTAGCTTCTTATATCTCTTAGGGACTCCAGTGTTAAATCCACCAGACAATGGTTACTGTCTCTGACTACACCAATCTGAATTCTCATTCCTTGTACTTCAGTAGCTTTTTTCCTGGTACTCTCCCTCTTTCTGTTGAATTCTCTACAATAAGTAATAATAATTGGACCCTCCTCCCTGTAATGTCTGCAGTATAGTATGCAGACTTGAAAACTTGATGTCACCACTGGAGTCCCCAAAGTCATAAGAAACAATTCTTGTTAAATATCACTTGAAAGGACATACTCTCTAAGCCAGAGGTGGGCAACTCTAACCCTCCAGTTGTGCTTTAATTACAAATCCCAACATACCTCTGTCTCTGGGATCCTTGCCTGTAACTGTGAGTCTTGCAATGTCTAATGGCATTCTAGTTCCACAAAAGCTGGAGGGCCTGAGGTGCCCACCCCTGCTCTAAGCCAGTCAAGGTCTGTAGCGGTGAATGAGCAAAACCAGCATCTTAACACTGCCACTAGAGTCTCATATATAAGTGGGAAGGCAACACATCCTGAAGGAAGTCTAATTCCAAACAAGCCTAATATGTTCCGTTTTGGTTGTGTTCAAAGTGGACCTGTGTTTACCTTTACCCTTTTGCAGAAAGCCACGAATAGCAGGCACCAAGAGATTCCTGGACACATGCTCAGATTCCTTGTAGAGCACCTCCGCAACACTAAAGCCCAGGAAGCTCTACAATGCAAAGAACACTTTTACACCCGGCTTTGCCCCTCACATATCTTACTAGAGGTCTATTCTTCTGATGGACAGCCTCACTGACTACCAGTGAAGCATGGAAGGTGGTTTTAAGCAGATTCAAATACAACAGGAACCCTAATTTTTTATTTACATATGTATTAGAGCTCCCCAGTAAAACTAAAAGCTGTCTGCTATGCCTCAGTTAAGTGTTATTAATGTTGTCTTTAAAGGCCTAATTTACTTATGTGTGAAGAGCAGGAAAGAGAAATGGTGCAAACGTATGTTTATTTCAAACATTCAATCATATGTAGAGAAAATTGAAAAAATAGAGCTTCTGCACATGATATGTTTCGTATAGGGATGCATCGATACCGTTTTTTTCAGTATCGAGTACAAGTACCAATATTTTTTCCCGTACTTGCTGACACCGAATACCAATACCAGAAGACCTATTAAGGAAGCCAGGTGGCATGTAATGACTCGCAACCTGGCTTCCTAAATAGCCGGGAAGCCGGGCGGCATGTAAAGACTCACAACCCGGCTTCCCGATTAGCAGGGAAGTCATCTCCATGCTCCCTCGTCACCAAGTGACAAGGAAGCATGGAGCCAGCTTTGTGGCCAATCAGGAAGCCGAGTGCCGTGTAATGACTCGTTGCCCGGCTTATCGATTGGCCGGGAAGCTGGCTCCATACTCCCTCGTCACAAGGTGGCTGGTAATGACTCGTTGTCCGGCTTCCTGATTGGCCGGCTTCCCGACCAATTTAAGAAGCTAGGCTGCGATTCATTACACACGGCCCAGCTTCCTGACTGGTCAGGGAGCCGGCTCCGTGCTCCGTGCTCCCTCGCCACCAACGAGACGAGGGAGCATGGAGCCGGCTTCCCAGCCAATCAGGAAGCCGGGCAGCGTGTAATGGCTCGCTGCCTGGCTTCCTGATACCGGCTAGGCATCTGAGCATTTTGGCGAGTACTTGCCCAAATACTCGGCATCGGCACCAATACCGATATTAGTATCGGTATCGGTGCATCCCTTGTTTCAAGTGAGCACAGGTTCATTTCACTGCACCGACCCCACATTATAGTGAATCAGGCACTGTATCTCTCTTCTAATATACAGTTTTTCTCTAAGCTTCATTAATGCATTTCACAAAGCTTGAGACTAAAACCTTAGACTGATTCTTTCATTTTCATGTTTCTTATCTGCTCATATCAGTCTTTTAATTGCACCAGTATTTAATGGCATATAGGCATTCTTTCTATCATCCCTTTATTATACTGAAATGATAGGCTACACCACTTCTGCCACCTCTCACAGTGTTAATACTTTCTTTGGGTAGACAAATTGGGGATGTCAAAAATACATTCTGGAACCCCAAGCACAGGTTATTTTATACACTTCCAAATCAAAGTGTCTCCCATTGCTGGTCCTCTAGTTCAGAGGCCCTGCACTGCCCCATATTGCAGGACCGGACCGCACTCAGACTGTGCGGCCTGGTACCATTTGATCCGCGGATCGGTACCGGTCCGCGGACCGGGGGTTGGGGACCACTGCTCTAGTTGCCCGGTTGTGTCAGGCTTAAACACTTTTGAGTTACAGACCCAGAACTAGTATGCTCTAAACGACTGTCAAATATTTGTTCCAGGTCGGAAACTCAGAAAGCATTAAAGTAGTATTAAACTCTCAATCTTTTTTGCAATATTGAATCCAGATGAAACAAATATTCGCAGCCCAGCAAAGTATTTATTTACATTTCTACCCAAACAATTGCAGTCATCATGTTTTAAAACTGCTGACTTCAAGTCTTTCAGCTCTGCTTCCCCAAACTTCCTTTCCAGTACAAGATCACAAGGGAGAGCACAGTCTCCAGCAACTGTTCATCTACTAGCATGGAGAAGGAAGGCAGGAAGGAAGAAGCAGGGAGCAGGGGGAGGGGAGTGACTTGATCTGCCATGCCTGTGTGTTTGTGGAGAGGCACGCAGCTTATTAGCACAAACAAGGGTGACTTCATAGGACCCTGGAAGGGAAAGGAGCCACCCTAAAACAGGATATCAGGGCCAGTGCTCAGGGGACCAGCAAAAACTTTCAAAAACATCAAGAAGCAGCATCCATTGTAAGTAATATAATCAGCATTTGAAATAGCTTAAAAACTTTTTGACTTTAATATCACTTTAAAGCCAAAGCACCAGCATGACCGCAAGGGAAATAGCATTCTTAAAGGAGAGGTCATCAGTGGCAGCATCCATACTTTCGCCATGGTAAAGTCACTTTAAATGGGCTTCTCTGACATACAGGAAAATCATCTCAGTAATCTAAAGAATTGTGACTCATCCTCTCATCTTCTCTATACGTGTGTGTACATGCAATGACTGCAGTTATTAAAAAGAACAACCTTTTGGTATCTGCAATCGAACACAGGAGACCAGAGCAGACAGCATGCAATGAATATTAATGTGTGACTGTGCTTTTACTCTTCAACAGAGTGTGAGCGCTAATGACGTAAATCCTAATATACACTTATCTGTCTTACCCAACAATCACAGTAAGAAAGGGAAAATAAAATATGGACATGTGTGTTTAGGTGTTTAGTATAACTCTAATACAAATATACAATGTGTATGTGTATCCTATGTATGTTATATAAAACATCCATAAAAAGTTAACTTAAACATATTTTTCTTTTTTTTT